ACTGGCCTGGCAGCCTTTCCTCAGGGTCTTTTCTGCTCTCCGGGGTGCCAGACGCCCGGGCCTGGGGCATGGGTGGCCTGTCCCCAGGGTGTGGGGACTGCTCTGTGGCCGATTTTGGTCCCTCGGGACAGCTGCCTCTAGTTGGTATCCAGGCCCTGTGCCTTGGTACGGAGCCCTTGAGTCTGTGGTGGGTTGACCCCAGCTGGAGGCCAGGTGCCCACTAAAGCCGCTCTGTCACTGCCCTCCTCACTGGGCAGGGGAGAGAAAATACAATGAATGGCTCGTGGGTCGAGATAAGGACAGGGAGAGATCACACAACTATTACCGTCAGTGTGTCAAACAGGCTCGACTTTGGTAATAAATGGATTTTCCCATCAAATCCGAGTAGGGTAATGAAAAATAAAAACTAAATCTTACAGCACCTTCCTCTTCCTTCTCCCTGGGTTCAACTTCACTCCTGATTTTCCTCTACCTCCTGCCCCGGAGCAGCGCAGAGGGATGGGGAATGGGGGTTGCAGTCATTTCATCACGTTTTCTGCCACTCCTTCCTCCTCACACTCTTCCTCTGCTCCAGCGTGGGGCCCCTCTGACAGGAGATAGTCTTCCACGAACTTCTCCAGCAGGAGTCCTTCCATAGGCTGCAGGCCTTCAGGAATAGACTGCTCCACTGTGGATCCTTTCCACGGACCTGATGTCAAACCTGACATCATGTCAAACCTGACCTGCATGTCCTGATGGCAAACCTGCTCCAGCGCAGGCTCTTCTCTCCATGGGTCCAGTGACCCTGCCAGGAGCCCGCTCCAGCACAGGCTGCCCACGGGGTCACAGCCTCCATCAGGTCTATCCACCCGATCCATCACAGGGTCATCCATGGGCTGCTAGTAGATACCGGCTCCACTGTGGACCTCCATGGACTGCAGGGGGAGACCCTGCCTCACCATAGTCTTCACTACAGTCTGCAAGGGAATCTCTGCTCTGGCATCTGGAGCACCTCCTCCCTCTCCTTCTTCACTGACCTGAGCATCTGCAGAGTTGTGTCTCTCACATATTCTCACTCCTCTTGCCAGCTGCTGTTGCCCAGCAGTTTTTTCCCCTTCTTAAATATGTTATCACAGAGGCACTACCACTGTCACTGATGGGCTCAGCCTCAGCCAGCGGTGGGTCCATCTTAGAACCAACTGGCATTGGCTCTATTGGACATGGGGGAAGCTTGTAGCAGCTTCTCACAGAAGCCACCCCTATAGCCCCCCTCACTACCAAAACCTTGCCACACAAACCCAATACACAATTAATTCTTCCTGACCATAGCTTCTTCTGTGCCTCATGTAGGCACAGCTATACACCTACAACGAGCCCCTGTTTGGGCAGCTCTGGGCAGTGTTAATGCTTTCTTCCTATGGCTGCCTCTGCCCACTGTCAGTTCGTTATTCGTGGCCCTCATCAGCTTTCCTGAATTTTCCTTCCCCTCTGTGCCCCAGTCAGTTGTAGGCCTTACGGAACTGTGAGAGCCTTTGCACATCGTTTTCTCTGTTCACAGCTCTCACCAGTACTCCCCACCTTGGTCCCAGTGAGCAGTTTCACTCTGTGGCAGTGGATGTTATGGAAGCAAGAAAAAGCAATGAACTCCAACAGTGGGAGCAGTTAGAGCAAACAATGTACTAAGGGGGAGCAGCAAGTTTCTCCATCCAAAGAAAGAGGTACAGGAAGGAACACATTGGGCACAAGGATCTCGGTTAAGAAGTAGTCAAAGGATAAGGTTTGTCTTTGTGGTACCAAAGATTTATTTCCAAGACCACAGTTCCTGCGGCGAGAAGTTGGGTATTACCTAAGCCCCGCCAAATAGGTTTGTTCCATTTGACGTTAAAGAAACACCAGAATGGGAGATGCTTTCAAACAGTCTGATTTTCCATACTTTGAATCTATAGAGATAAAGGAAGGTGTTCAAGTGAGACAGGTCCCATAGCACCATCGAGTTGATGTCACGAGCTGGAGGAGCGGTTGGCAACTGTCGACATGCAACATTCTATACTGGCTAGCAACTGCCTTCGTCGGTTCAACAAGCCTAGAGAAGGTACCACCCCCTTCGTTCAAGTGTATTTTGCTGTCAGTTGGAGTTTTGTTTCAAAAAAGAAACACAGGTAAGATACTGAAAGTCCAGTTTTTGAAAGAAAACTGCTGTGTTCAGGATAAGATTGCAATTTACCTGAATGTTGATTGCTTTAACGTTTTTGTGTATGTTCTGCCGGTATTAAGAGAGTGGAGAAGCCCAAGAGGTGGAAATGGCTGCAGCTGGGAACGACCGCAATTTCCGTTTTTATTCCCCCTATGCACAGGTAAATGCTGTAGATTTTAGTGTGGTTTGTATCCTTGATTTTCTTGATATATCCGTGTTGAAAGGGAGGTTTGTTATGTAAAGTGAGAAGGTGATACATCACTCTGTCTGGGTCATGGCCACATCTGTAGCTCAAATTACCTGATTTTCGGAAGTGGTGAGAAGAGCTAATCATCATACAGACTATGGACAATTTCTCCTGTGAACTGGGCTCCGATACGCAAGGAACACATAAGTTAGAAATCGTGCATAAAGATCACTCATCTCTCTCTTATTGAATCAACATTAGGTTGATTCTGAATGAACAGGCCGTGTTTATAGTTTCTGCTGAGAGCAACTACCTGAATTTCTACAAAATCAGTTATTTACAACAAAGTTCTTCAAAATGGGTTTGTCCTTCAAAGAAATATTTATGTTCCACTTGGTGAACAGGTGGGTTAGGTGTAGGGCTTTTTTTTTATTGCATCCATTCTAGCATTGGGGATTTAGTCTGCCAAATCTGTACAAGGATTACAAGTTCCCAAATTTTTAGCTTTTCAGTTTTTGGGGGGAATATGTCTGCACTTTCTTTCTTACTCCTTGTTTTCCCATAGACACATGACCCTTGTTAGTAAGACAGTACTACTGTCAGATTTGCACTTGTACAGCAGACTTTATTTGAGATTGACCTGATTATCCCATTGTGCAGGAAAGGAAACTCAGCCGCAGGTCAATTAAGTGACTCACAAATTGTTTTTCTTCCCAGCATCTCATGAAAAGTCTGCAGTACAGTAAGGAGACTGCTTTACTCCTGTTCTTATCTGGGAACCATTTTACATCATGAAAGCTTCCTTGACCTAACTCAAGACAGCTTTAGAGGTATCTGGAGCTTAAGAGAACTTTGAAGATCACTTTAAGTATTCTAAAATGTCAGAAGGTGGTCCCACAAAATCGCAGTCATATGTTCACAGCAGTACACCATGTACTAATCCATTTAGTCCATTTTTATTGTTCTATTTACAAGATCTGAAAAATACCTGTTTTCTCCTGCAGCAAAAGTACAGCAGCATCTCCTGTTTCTGGGAAACACAACCCTCAGGCTGTGTGAGGATCAGTTGCGCCTTCCATCATAGCAAACCTCGTACTATAAATGGACTTTTTTTGCCACCCAGTAACAGTGAGTAAAAAATATATTCTAAACAATTCGTTCATTACAGTAAGTAAAGACACAAAAATGTTCTTGCAGTGCTCACTTCCAATACTTTGTTATTAAAATCAAGAAGTGTACCATGGCAAATCAGTCAGGTATGATCTGCTATCCCAGCTATTTGAAGGCAAAGATGAAGTCACAAATGGCAACATAGGTTGCTGAGGTCCATGGAGTGAAGATGCTGCTTTACTTGGGTATTTGCTAGATTAAATCTCTCTAGTAGTGAAAATGGTTAGTAGGTAGGAAATCATTTAAGAGAAAGGAAAGGTAGTGTGTGTGGTGAGGGGAGGAGGTTGGTAGGGCCACTAGTAGCAATATCTGTTGATAGAGCACAACATGTAACATGGATGAAACCCCCCTTGTATCGGTGCCATCAGATTACAGTGATGTGTGTGCAGGTGTATTTCCGGTTCACCACTTTGAATAAATTTTTCAGGCTTGAACATTGGGTACAGGCTGTTGAAGGACAGTAGTAGTGTGTGAGGCAGTACATATCTGAAAATCAGATTATTTATGGAAAAAAGCACCATTACAAGTTGCGTTTTTTTCCTCAGTCCTTGCTAAGACTAAAATACAGGTGTTCATGGGCCTTAACTCCAAAGATGGAGGCAGGTGTCACAAGAGTCCAAAAAGACTTCTAGTCTGATGCAAACACCTTCTCCGTGTGCTCCACAGTAACATTGCAAACATTAAAACTTCAAGCAGTCATTTTAACACTTAAAAATCTTGTTAAACTAATTTAAGTTTCATTTGCCTTACACTACCCAGAGCTAATAATACTCTTTTCTGGACACTGAAAAAGGCTCTATCAAGTTAAAGTGTTGTATCTTACTTTCTCTTGCATGAGATACAAGAAATCTGATCTGCAGGAGTGTTCTTAAAATGGGTTTAATAGGATAAACATGCTGCTCATAGGCAAGGAAGAGGTGCACAAGAATAGCAACAACTGGAATGAAAGTAAATGCCCGTGCTTCATCTTATTTCTTTAAAGCTGGAAAACATACCCAACTTCAGTTGTTTTAATGTAACACACAGAATCCTGGTTGTATCTGTAGTTGCAAATTAGTCAGCTTGAACACTGCAAATAATCCTTTTTCTTTTCAGTCTGCTGCATTTCCTGGCCCTCAGAAAATGCTATCCCAGTACTGGAATAGTTTTGCTGCAAATATTATGGGTAGATACAAATTGCTAAGGAAAAGCATCTCTGTTCTGATTTTCTTCGAATTAAGTGTAAATGATTTTCATAAACTTCATGTTCTTTCTCCAAATCTACATTTTGTACTCAGTTAAGGGATTTGTAATTCAGAAACTAATAGAAAAAAAAAAGTCTACAACCTAAAACTGTATATTCCTGTGCTTAGTATTGCTAAATTCTTGAAAATTGCTGCCATGAGGAGTGACACAGGCCTGCCTATTATTCAGCATGTTTAAAATATTTTCACAGATGGGGTCCTAAACTCATTTACTCACTTCAGCCCAGGTATTACTAATTACGTTTCTCTGTGTTGTAAATATCGTAAAAGGGACTGGAAGAAAGAAATTTGCGATTCAAATTAATCTATCCAGCAGCTGGAAGAGATACCAAGCCATTTTTAAAAAGCGTAGAATTATCAAAATGTTCCTCTTTTTAAAAGGCGTTATTCAGCAGTGCCTCATCTGTCCATTCACAGGAGCTGGTACCTGTGCTTTTTCATACTTTCCGTAGCTAGAAGATGGTCTTTTGCCAACTTCTGTGGAAGATTTTTCCTAAAAGGCACAATCAGTCTATTTGATGATTCCTTCAATACGATAATGATTTCAAAACTGTACCCGCTGGTCTGAACCTGGATTTGATATTCCAGTTCCCTCCTAATAAAATAAATATCATGTTCTTTTCTGCAGATACCCCATTGCAACTAGGTGTCCAAGAAGGGATTCTGAGTCCAGCCCATTGTGGAGAATCACTCAGAAATCAAGAGAATATTTTAAGACCAATTCACCCTCCACTAGTAATAAACTTCAACGATGAAGAGGAGGAGGAAGATGAAGAGGAAGAGAACTGTAAGCAGTTTTTTCTTTCTTTTACGAGGAAGTAGAATGGCATTTTCCAACTCTTGCAATGTACTTCACAACTGATTTATTATAATAACCATTATATTTTTAGAAAAGAGTTGTTGACAAGTTTTTGAAATACTTCCCAGCAAATCCCCAAAATATTGGAAGTGGTAGGCACCAGATGTGAGCGAGGCAACATTTTCTAACTCCTGTGAAATTCCTAGCTGTATATTTCACTAGGGTATAATTCACATATCTCTTTTTCATTAAACAGAGTTTAAAATCTGATCCACCATTCAGATGATGTGATCCACAATTCAGATGGCCATCAAATATTCTTCAACTTTTCTCAAAATTTAGGGACAAAATTACAAGTTTTGGAAGTACTTCTTTTCTGGGAAAGAAACTTTTGAACAGGGGCTGTACACATTCATCACTGAAGGTGATGTCACAGGTTTCTTTACAAAAGATAGTTGTGTGACTTCAACTTAAATGATTTGTTCAACTGATTTCCTAAACTCTGTAGGCAGCCTCATTTTATTACAGAAGTTACACTTAAATCTAGCAAAGAGAGTCCATACAAAACTCCTCACTAGTTTAACTGAATGTCAATGTGTATATATTTATTCATATATATAAGGTTTTAATTTTTTTAATGTAGTTAAACCGTTGCCTGTATCTCACTTGGAAATGAGAGATTCCTGGGGAAGGAATGAATTGTACATTCCTAGATGGTGAAAGTGAGAGAACGACCTACTGTCACGTGTGCACTCTGCAAATTACTGTGCTGGTTCTCAGGCAGCCCCGAGTTGCTTTTCACTTTCCCCCTGCCCTTCAGCTTTTCTGGCAGGGCGGCCTGTAAGTGCTTCCTAACTTGGTTTCAGTCTGAGTAAGCCACATGAATTTAAACAATATAAAAAGTAGAGCTTTGCTAACCTTAGTAGCCTTAGCAGAGACAGGTAAGGAGTACTCTCTTCACCAGCTCTGCTGGCAGACATTACAGGATGGTAACTTTGAGCAGAGGTTTTGTGACAAGCAGTCCCTGGTGACCTGTTCAATCAAAATATTTCTTTTCAGGTGTAAATGAAGGATTATTTTGAAAATGAGTACTGAAGATGTTTTTGAATCTTTTTAAATCAACAAACAGTATCTTCTTAATCTGTGTTGTAATTGCAATTCCATTGCACTTGGAAATACCTAATAAGAAGGAATAATTTTTCTGTCCAGAAGCAGAGGTTGCAGTCAGAAAAAAGTAACCTGTGACTGAGATGAAATTCGTTATGGTATTTGGTTATTAAGAATTGTTGAAGGTCTTTGTATAGATACCCAGTAATCTTTTAAAACTACTTCCTACAGCTGTTCCTAATTGGGTGCCTAAGAGTGCTGAAGATATTGAAGAGGAAAGAGCAATAAAGGAAATATGCTATAAATCTGGTAAATATTAAAGTAGTCACCCCTTCCTAAACAGCAATGCTGCCAATATAGTAAACTTTGGGTTTTTTTTTCCTTCTTGGGGTATGTTTAGGAGAGTATTACAGGATTCAGTACCCTCCTCAACACCAATCAACAAAAAACGTCTCTTCACCTCGGGAAAATGAGCTGTTACCCTTGGAAGCTACCAAGAGAGACTTGCAGAAAGGCAAGTACTTTTCATCTTCTTGGACAATGTTTACCCCTTTTTAAATTACTGTTACAGGGAGAAACTATTACTTAGTTTTCCCCTCCTCCCTGCTTTTTTATGTAGTGACAGTAAAAGATAGCATATTACAAAGAGCATAAAAATACTTCATTTTTCCCCGTGTATATACACACATATATATAGTGTCACACACGTGGTGACTACCTACATCCATTGTAGATAGAAAAGGTAGAAATGGGCTGTTAACCCAATGTGTACTTTCCTGAGATACACATAGGTGTTTCAGATAATTTTTCTTCATGATTAAGATTTACATAGTCTAATTTCAACCATACTAAGGTTAGGAATATATTTTAAATTTCTCATCCACGCTCTCTGTCATAAATAGAGAGAGACAGGCACTCTTATGGGGCTATCATAAGACAGTGCCAAAGAAAGGTGAGATGACTCATTTTCCCAGAGGTGCTCCATGCTCTCTGCTGGCTGTCTTGGGTGGGGTGTCCACATGACAAAATGTAGTGATACATCAAACTTTTCTATAACTAAATTTGGATTAAATAAATACCCCCTTTAAGAGTCTTTTATAAGATAATAAGAAGTGTGTTCCATTTTGTTTTGAGTATTGGGCTTTATCCAACGTAATTAAGGTCAAAGGAATACAAACGAATGAATATTTACCTCCTTCATTGTGTTTCTCCTTCATTATTGACCAAGTGGCATGACTGAAAAAATCTGTATTTGTGACATACTACTTTTAATTAAAAAAAAAAAATATTGTTTATTTTCACAGTGGTGTAAATTTCAGGGAAAAAAATCTTGGTAATACAGTTTTATGTAAAACAGATTTGAATAGGATGATATGCTAATAAAAAAATGGGAAAGCAAAAATTGTCTTTATGTCATGCTCTTTTGACTGACCACTTTTGCCAGCCTAAATTGTTCGATAGAATTGGGTAAAATTATTTTCTTATTATTTCTACATTTAAATTGTTATTAAAATAGATTTGATAATGTATTTCTGGCAAGTATTTAGGTATATTTAGACAACAGACGAAGGAATCAGTAACAAACATATGAATATAGCTTCTAATATATGTATTTATTTGTCATTAGATACATTCAGAGAAAAGGGTAGAGAAGTTTCCCCAAATCATTTCTTCAGTTGAGTTCTCTGAGGTTTTAGGTACTATGATGACACGCGTCTTGAAAATACCATAAATTCAATCCAATAGGATTCATAAATATCATTCATGAAAAGTGAGAGGGAGGCTAAAGAACAAGCAGATAGTTTGTAGCTGGTTCTTTACTTTGGAGCCATAATCTTCTTTGACCTATGTATTATGATACTTTCCTAGAAAGCATGAGAGTTATGCATCAGTCACACTGGACAGGATCTAAATAACTAAGACTATAAAATGAGAGGTTAATGGAAATTGCCTGAAACTAATCACTAGCTCATAGGGGTGGGAGGAAAAGAATGGCAGTACCATTCCCTGTGCTCACTCACAAGAAACTCAAACATTCTTTCTGTCCCCTTGAGGGAGGTGGTTCTGTCCCTTTACTCCACTCTCGTGAGACCTCATCTGCATCCAGCTCTAGGACCCCCAACATAAGAAGGACATGAACTGGTTGGAGTGAGTGGCCTTTCAGTACTTAAAGGGGGCCTACAGGAAAGATGGAGAGGGACTCTAGTGATAGGACAAGGGGTAACGGCTTTAAACTGGAAGAGGAAAGACTTAGACTAGATATAGAGAAGAAATTTTTCACTCTGAGGGTGGTGAGGCACTGGAACAGACTGCCCAGAGAAGCTGTGGATGCCTCATCCCCGGAATTGGTCAAGGCCAGGTTAGATGGGGCTTTGAGTAACCTGGTCTAGTGGGAGGTGTCCCTACCTGTGGCAGGGGGGGTGGAACTAGATGATCTTTAAGGTCCTTTCCAACCTAAACCATTCTATGATTCTATGATTCTGTTGCCTTTCCAGGTGATGGTAATAAAATTTCTACAAAAATTAATTATACAAAAAGAGACGGAGGGAGTTCAGGAAGGAGAGTACCGACAGAGAGTATTCCCAGAACAGATCATAGATCCTTTGAAAATGGAGTAATATACTTTAGCATCAGCTTCTCATTGCTGAACATCATGTGGTAAATAACTGAATATGCATGCACTAAACTTCACCATTTTATGTTTGAGTTATTCTTTCTTCTTTATGTTCTAGAGACTCTTATGCTGCACCATTAATTATAACAATCAAAACCATTGTTTATGATTCTGGTGTTTTACGATTATAAAAAAAAAATATCCTCCATGCTGATTACAGTTGTTTTTTTCCTGCTTACTTTTGGAAAATAAATGTTTCTGTGGAGTTATAAAAAACATATGTCTATAGTTTAATACCCTTAGTCTCGAGTTATGTTGACATCAGAGGTTAAACTACTGTAGGAAGGTTGACTCTTTGGCCATTCGTTAGTATTTCTGCAATGCTGTTTTTCACCATGTCAGCAATGCCAGCTTAGCTGTTAAAACTTCATGTGAACCCATACTGTAAACTGTATTACTGAAGTGACTGAGGATTAAAATAATCCTTTTATAAATAGAAATTATTTTCATGCCATGTCATTTTAGTTGTTCAGCTCGCAGGACAACACATAACTGACCTGATACAACTGAGACAGAGGCAAAGCATACCTCACGTGCAAGGGATGAGAAATAAGCACCAGTAGACAGGAACATATTAAGATTCCAGTTTTGTCCTAACTGAGTTATCTTGTAACGACATGCAATTCAAGCTCAGAAGTGTTCAACCTGTGCTTTGGAGTCTGTGTGCATTGGGTTCCCGTTTAGATATTACACTTCGACTTCGGAAAACGATTTGTTCCCTCTGTGACACACACATAAATTGCATGCAACTTTTGCTTCTCAGTTGTCTATGTGGATTAAAGCAAATGGTTTTAGTTGTAAACTATAAACTCTAAATACAGTATTCATGAAGATTTTCTAATTCATAATGAGAAGCATTCTGAGCCAGCACTGGTCAAAGCAATTGTGCAAGTTCAAAGTACTGTTGGTCTTTGTGTTTATAGTAAATTTTTTACTTCGCTTTCAAGATTTTGTGCCATGAACTCTGCCAGAGGAAATATAGCTCCTTTGCTCTTCTTTAGGGGAATGATACTTTAGAACAATTAACATGTAAAACCATGTACCACCCAAGAAGACCTGTTTATGAAGTGGGAGATTAGGCTTTCAAAACACCAAATATTTTTGGGTAAGAAAATCTTGCGGGCTTTTTGAAAAAGTAACTGTGTCATTTTAATCCCGCAGAATCAAATCATACTGAGCTGGTAAAGGACCGTCAGTGTAAAGAAGTGAAGAAGAAATGGATTTCTGAGGAGACAAGAAATTCGCCTGATACAGTAACAGTCAAAGGTGCTTTGAGAATACAGTAGGATTTTTCATTTTTATTTAGTAAACTGTTAGATGATTTAGCACTACCTAGTTAATTTCTGTTCTTAGTGTCAAATGGACAATCCATATTTGGATTGGACTATCCACACAGCACATTTTTAAAATCTTGTCTTCAATCCTCCCGTCTCCTGCAATATGTCAAGTTTTGATGAATAGCACAACATCTATGTTAAAGGGTTTTTTTTTTCACTTTTAGGAATTCACACTTCAGACCGCAAAGTGAAACCACGTTACCAACAAAGGGGTCAAAGTAAGAATGATGAAACTGTGAGAGAAACTGGAAAAAAGACTTATTTCAATTTTTCAGAACCTCGACGATCACCATATATAGTCTACCGTACTGCCACTGTCACCCAAGAGCCAAAGTTCAAGGGATCTACAGGTGGGTTCCTGCTTACAAAGAATTCTTGAAATGCCTCAAATACGCCTGTCTGTCCCATGCTGCTTTCGATTTTGTCCCTGCAGGTGAATATTAAGTTATTTATGCCTAAACGTGGGCAAGAGTACATTTGATCCAGCATAATTTTCAGAAGGAGATTGCAGCAGTATCCACAGATAGAAACATCAGACTTTATAAAGCTTCACAATCAGTCAGACAGAATATTCATGAAGAGTAATTTAGCCACCTTCGTAGCAGGCATTCATTTGTCTGCCCAACAAAGAGGGATAAAGGCAGTGATGTGCTGATGTGCACTACCATACTGATCCCCACTATTTACAGCATCTTCCATGTGATTTATTCTTTGGAAATAATTAATAAACCTCAGAATAGTCCACCTCTAGCTTCTCCGTTTACTCTAAATATTGATAGCAATAGCAGCAGTAGTAGTTTTGCAGTAGGATTTCTGTTTCCTCTCAAGAAACATTTCTTCTTCACCTTTTTTCCTGCCAGCAGGGGACAAAGGAATCACCTTGCTTTGCGCAGTGTTTTTCCACAACTAGTATTTCACTGGAGTTTTGATTGTGATGGATTTCTGATTATTTTCATTCTTTAGGATTCTTTTTCATCTTGAATGAACAAGGACGTACATCTTATTCAAACTCGTGCTATCAATTTAAATGGGCTTTAAATTTTTCATAGAATCATAGAATTGTCTAGGTTGGAAGACACCCTTGGGATCATCGAGTCCAACCATCTACCCAACTCTACAAAGTTCTCCCCTACACCATATCTCATCCTTTTTCCATCTTTGAAAGACTCTGCTGTCCTCTTGATAGCATGTAGTATGTCGTAATTCTGACAAGAAGCCTACAGGTGGGATTCTGAGTCTTGTATCTTTCTTTCTAGCAAACTGTTCCAGATTTCCCTTTATTATTAACTTGCTATTATAGCTTCACACAATCTAGTCCATCGTTTGGGTTTTATTTGCCTTTTGATTTTCTGGTTCCATGGCTTCTCTGGATCATTTTTCATCTCTCACTTCATCAAGACATTTAGTGGTAAATAATTTAAATAATCATAAGTTAAGGAAGTCATTTCATCTTGCCAGTTTCAGTCATCTCTCTTCAGCTGGGTTGAAACTCCATCTTCAGGTGCCTCCCTGTATTAATTTCCAATAAAAGAAACCTCCTTTAGACAGAGTAACCTCTGCTTTCAGATGAATAAAATTACACAAAATGAATACCAACATCACTGCTACATCTTGGGACAAACAGTTGTGGGTTTTTTTTTCTGTTTTCTTTGAGTGTTTGCTTTGATTAAATGTGGGCAGACTGGTATAGAGATTTCAGCAAGAACATTCTTAATGTGAAGAATACATCTTATCAAATTTCCAGGTCAAAAAAGGATAGAGTATTTAAAGAAAAAGGTGATCAGCATTTTCATCATGAGAAGGATCATTACTATTTTCGCTACCTTTCTTTTCAGCTACACCTGAGCCATATGGTCAGAAATGCTCCAAGCCAAAGAATCAGTTTGACACAAATAGAAGATTTGGGACCCAAACGGAAAACTATGGTAATACGTACATGTTGTGCATTAGGATCATTGTGGAATCAATAATTTGAATTAATGGAATTAAGGTGGAATTAACAGAAAACTGGAGTATTAATAACAATGATTTTTAACAAAATTTTACAGAAAATGGTTAGTCATTAGGCAGCATACTCTGATGCAAAATCAACTGCCTAGCACAAAAACATAATATTGCCTTGCCTATAGTGCTTTCACGAGCAGAGATAGAACAGGAGATTGGATTATGGGTTCATTTAATCTAAAAACTCTGAACAGAGTGGGCAAGCAGAGCATGGCTCATCAGTAAGGACATGGCGTGGCAGTTTGCATGGCAGTTCAAGCAGAAGGGTGTGCAGGAAGGGCATGGTCCCACTACTATGTCAAGGGGTGAGTTCAGTTGGTGGTCGTCACCCTCTCAGAAGGAGCTATGGTATCCTCCCGGTGGAAAGCTGTGTCCTCTGCACTTGGCAGAAAGGATGTGGCAACACAGACAGAGCTCCCAAGATAACATGCAGCCATACTGGTCTTGGGCTGCAAGGAGTGCCAGGTGGCAGTAGTGAGAACACCTGTGTGAGTTATGACCAAGTGGACGATCTGCTTAGCCTGGTGGCAGAGCTATGAGAGGAAGTAGAAAGCTTAAGGAGCATGAGGGAGCTCGAGAAAGAGAGAGACTGGTGGAACCATATTCCGCCCTCCCTGAGACAGAAGAGGCAACAACCACCAGGAAAAACCCAAGGTCAAGGGGATCCTGTATCCTCCCCCCACCAGGCTGAAGGAAGTAGCTTAAAGCAGAGGAGTGAATGGAGGAAAGTCCACACTCGGGGAAGGAGGCAAATCCCCTCCCTGCCTATCTCTCCTTCCCAAGTGCCTGTGTAAAACAGGTACGAGACTCTGGATATGGAAGGCCAGTCAATGGATGATGATGTGGATGACAGTCCTTCTTTGCCAGACATGCTGCCAAGGTCAGAAAGGCCTGTATCACAACTACCTCCACAAGGAAGAAAAGATGGGTAATAGTTGTAGGTGACTTGCTTCTGAAGAGAACAGAGGTCCAATATGCTGGCCAGACCCTCCTTTTAGAGAAGTCTGCTGCCTCCCTGGGGCCTGAGTTAAGGACATCACTATGAAACTTCCTAGCCTGATATGGCCCTTGGCCTACTACCCATTGCTGCTCTTCCATGTGGGTGGTGATAAAGCTGCAATGTGTAATCCAAGGGTGATCAAAAGAGACTTCAGGGCTTTGGGACAGTTGGTAAGGGAATCTGGAGCACAGGTTATTTTTTCCTGTCTCCTCCGAGTTGCCGACAGCAACATTGGAAGAAATAGATGAACCCAGTCTATTAATATGTGGCTCCATGGCTGTTGCCACCACCACAATTTTAGGTTTTTCGATAATGGGATGGCCTACATGGCACCAGGCTTGCTGGTGTCAGATGGGTTCCACCTTTCTCAAAATGGGAAGAGGCTCTTGGCTCACAAGCTAGTGGGGCTCATTGACAGAGCTTTAAACTTGGCTTAATGGGGGAGGGGATAATATCAGGCTTGCCCGTGACGAGCTGTGGGATGACGTGCCAAAGTTGGAAGGATGGGGTGCTAGCGAGGGCCTGCAGTCTGTTGCTCTGAGACATGCTGACTACACTGCAGCACACTTGAAGTCTTATGGAGATGAGCCAGGGGCTCCTGAGGTAATAGGAACCAAGAGGGAAACACCAGTGAAATGCCTCAAAGGAATTAAGGAGTATTCCTCTAAGAAGGTGACATGGCCAACAGCCCAGCTGAAGTACTTTTACAAAAATGCATGCAGCACAGGCAACAAACAAGAGGAGTTGGAAGTCACCATGCTGCTAGAAAGCTACGACCTAGTTGCCATTACTGAAACGTGGTGGGATGAATCCTGTGACTGGAGTGTGGCTACCGATGGCTACAGGTTGTTCAGAAGGGGCAGGCGAGGAAGGAGGGGTGGAGGCATTGCCTTCTACATCAAGAAGTAGATAGAGTGTGAAAAGCTGTATCTGAAGAATAGCTACAAGCAGGTTGAAAGCTTATGGATAAGAATAGGAGACCAAGGCAACAAAAGGAACCTTGTGATTGGTGTCTACCACAAGCCGCCTGATCAAGGGGAGCCTATTGACAAAGCCTTCTTACTCCAGCTACAAAAGGCATCGTGTTCACAGGCTCTCATCCTGCTGGGGGACTTCAACCACCCCAATGTCTGCCGGAAAAATAGCATGATGAGCTGTAGGCAATCCAGGAGATTCCTGGAAAGCACTGAGGATAATTTCTTGAGCCAGGTAATAGACATCCTCACCAGAGGGGATGCAATACTGGACCTGATGGTCACCAACACAAGTGAGCTAATCGGTGACATCAAGATTGGAAGCAGCCTAGCTGCAGTGATCATGCACTGGTGGAGTTCACAGTCCTGAGGGATATGGGTCAGGTGAAGAGTAAAGTCAGGATCCTGAATTTTAGGACAGCAAAATTCCAGCTGTCCAAGGACCCCCTGGGAAACTGCCCTTAGGGACATGGGAGCAGAACAGAGCTGGTAGATATTTAAGGATGCTTTCTGTAGAGTGCAAGAGCTCTCTGTCCCCAGGTGTAAGAAATAAGGAAAAGAAAGCAAGAGACCAGCATGGCTGAGTCAAGACCTGCTGGTCAAACTGAAGGGCAAGAAGGAAATGCACAGGCAGTGGAAGCAGGGACAAGTATCCTGGGAAGATTATAGAGACGCTGCCCGGTTTTGTAGGGATGGGGTAAGGAAGACGAAGGCTGGAGCTGAACTTGGCAAGGGACACAAAGAATAATAATAAGGGCTTCTACAGGTTTGTCAGCCAGAAAAGGAAGGTCAAAGAAAGTGTATCCCCCCCTGATAAGCGAGACTGGCAAATTGGTAACAACAGATGAGGAGAAGGCTGAGGTACTCAACAACTTGTTTGCCTCAGTCTTCACGGGCAACCTCTTTCTCCACACCTCTTGAGTGGATGGACTGCAAGGCAGGGACTGGGGCAGAGTCCCTCCCGTTGTAAGAGAAGATCAGGTTCCTGACCACCTGAGAAACCTGAACATACAGAAGCCTATGGGACCTGATGAGATGCATCCCAGAGTCCTGAGGGAATTTGCTGATGTAGTTTTCAAAGCCACTCTCCATGATATTTGAAAAGTCATGGCAGTCAGGTGAAGTCCCTGGTGACTGGAATAAAGGAAACATTGCACCCATTTATAAAAAGGGTAAAGGGAGGACCCTGGGAGCTACTGACCTGTCAACCTCACCTCTGTGACAGGGAAGATTGTGGAACATCCTGGAATCTATGCTAAGGCACATGGAGGACAGGGAGGTGGTTGAGACAGCCAGCATGGCTTCACCAAGGGCAAGTCGTGCCTGACCAACCTCGTGGCCTTCTATGGTGCAGTGACTACATCAGTGGACAAGGGAAGAGCTACAGATGTTGTCCATCTGGACTTCTGTAAGGCCTTTGATATGGTCCATGTCAACATCCTTCTCTCTAAATTGGAGAGATCTGGATTTGATAGAGGGACTGTTTGGTGGATCAGGAATTGGTTGGATGGTTGCATCCAGGGGGTAATGGTCAGTGGCTCAGTGTCCAAATGGACATCAGTGGCAAGTGTTGTCCTTCAGGGGTCCATATTGGGAGTACTATTTAATACCTTTATCAATGACGTAGACAGTGGAATTGAGTGCACCCTCAGCAAGTTTGCGGATGACACCAAGCTGTGTGGTGAGGTTGAGACGCCTGAGGGACAGGATGTCATCCAGAGGGACCTGGACAAGCTCAAGAAGTGGACCCATGTGAACCTCATGAAGTTAAACAAGGCCAAGTGGAGGGAGGGTCCTGCATGTGGGTCAGGGCAACCCCTGGTATGAATGCAGGTTGAGGGATGAAGGAATTGAGAGTAGCCCTGCTGAGAAGGCCTTGGGGGTACTGGTGGATTAAAAGCTCGACATGAGCCAGCGATGTGCACTTGCAGCCCAGAAGGCCAACTGCATCCTGGGCTGCATCAAAAGAAGTGTGGCCAGCTGGTCAAGGGAGATGATTCTTCCCCTCTACTCAGCTCTGGTGAGATTCCATGTGGAGTACTGCGTCCAGCTCTGGAGCCCTCAGCACAGGAAAGACATAGACCTGTTGGAGTGGGTCCAGAGGAGGGCCACAAAGATGATCAGAGGGCTGGAACACCTCTCCTATGAGGACAGGCTGAGAGAGTTGGGGTTGTTCATCCTGGAGAAGAGAAGGCTCTGGGGAGACCTTATTGTGGTCTTTCAGTACTTAAAGGGGGCCTACAGGGAAGACGGGGACAGATTTTTTAGTAGGGCCTGTAGTGATAGGACAAGGGGTAATGGCTTTAAACTAAAAGAAGGAAGATTTAGACTAGATACAAGGAAGAAATTTTTTACAATGAGGGTAGTGAGACACTGGAACAGATTGCCCAGAGAGATGGTAGATGCGTCATCCCTGGAAACATTCAAGGTCAGGTTAGATGGGGCTCTAAGCAACCTAATCAAGTTGAAGATATCCTTGCTTATTGCAGGGGGGTTGGACTAGATGATCTTTAAAAGTCCCTTCCAACCCAAACCATTCTGTGATTCTATGATTCTATGCCTTTGGGAAGATTTTCAACAGAGGAACATTCACTTCAAGTCAAGGATGTCTGTGCCCGAATCGCCTCATTTGGAAGATCCTGTGAGCCTGATGGAAATGCTGCAAGACCACAAATGATCTTTAAAGTACTAGAGAGAAAGTCTGTATTTAATACTAGCTTACATTTCACAGATGAGGTATAATTCACCCAATGCATTCACTGATACTTCAGCTAATGTAATATTTAATTCACATCTCAGACTAAGAGAGCCTTTCTTGAAATTGTAGCTGAAATTAAGAAAAAATGCATATGTTTTTTTTCTATAGACAAATATACTTCGGGATCTTATAATTCACCAACTTGGAGGAAAAGAAATCCGCATGCAAAAACATTCTCAAAGTTTAAAACAATCTCTCAGGTAACTGTCTGATAGAAATTTTTACAATTCAGTCTTTTTAGTAGAAGTGGCATGTCTCTCCCCACCTGGAAAATGTAAAATAGCTCTTTAAACTTTCCCAATCAAAACCCACAAGATTCTAAGCAAAATTGAGTAGCTTGAAAGAGCAGTTAATGGTTTTGATTGTTTGCAGACATGTAATTTTGCCTGTAAAACTAACCCGTGATTTCTAATTTTTTAAAATATTACTATTACTTTGACAGCAGAGCCAAGAAGACATGGAAGTGAATAGAAAAGGAGAACGATATGTAGAGAGGAGAAAGAGATAAAGTGAGTGAGTCAATTTACAAGAAAAATCTAAATTGAAATAAGGAAATTATCAACTGGAGAACAAAAGATGATAAAACTGCAAATTCCAAAAATATGATGTAGGAAGTATATTGTAATGTTTCAAAACTGATTACAAATTCAAAAAGTATGTTCTCTATGGTCACATATTCACTCAGTTTAATCTGTTACGAAAATTTAACAATTGAAATTAGTTTTACAGACTATGGCTGTATACTACAAGACCAATAGTAAAAGAAGTCCACAGAGAGGAAAAAAATCCTTAAGCAGAGCCTTCCCCTCTTTTCTTTGACAGATGTTTTAATGTATAAATACTATTATGAATAAATACTTAGCAGTTTCAGAGGACTTTTAATATAAACAGCAATAGTAATGCATTCTAGAAACTAGCTGTTTTGGTAGGAAAGCCAGATTCTTTTTGGCAGGACAGCAGAGCTGTGCTAGAAACTAAATGAACTTCACGACAAAACTTTCAGAATTAACTGAAATATGCTTTTGCATACATTTTAACCTAAAGTATAAAAGATTGGATAAAGACTGAGAGGAAGATTGATAAGAAGGATACTTTAATATTGCTTTCTGAAGAAACAAACCTTATACTTAATTGTTACATATATGTGTCTTCATATCTTTGTCTCAGATGTTTTTTTCCATTTTTGCATTTACCTGACCTTTGGTCATTCTTAGAACATAATCAGTTTTGGAGGAGAGCCCTTCAGACTTCCTTCTGTAACGCTGTAATTATCTTGGTGGCCCCCATAACTGTGACTATAAAAGCATTTTGCTTCCTTGGAGCCTTTTCCATGGACAGGATCTGCAGCGTGTACTGGGCCATGGTCAGAGGCCTATTTGGTGCTGCACAACTTGGGGTTCCCAGCATCTGAAGGGTTGTATTATTATCTATACTATCCTTCTTTTCTTTTTAGCAAGATCTCAAAAAAACAGCATCTTAAGAGATGCTTTGTAGAATCTGAGCACCTTTCCAACTGGGATCATGAAGAACTTGCACCTCTTGGTGCAATTCAACCCACCTCCTCACCCTAAAAAGACACCCCAATAAGCCAAAGCCAAAAGAAAATGGCTAGCATCTTAGCATTTTCTAGCATCTTAACATGCCAATATTCCCAGCAGAGGATCAGGCTAAGTGTCAGGCCCAGCTCAAGGGAAAGACAAAGAAATGCAGGAGGAGAGGGACGTGGCTGTGAGGGCAGTACCTGGCTGATCCTGGATTGTTGTGGAACCACAGCCTCAGTACATTCTCTCTTCCCTTTTGACTAGAGCTTCCTGTAGAGAAATTACAAACCCAGCAAGTCACAGATACTGAGAAATACCTCATCATTGTACAATAAATACATGGCTCAAAGAGATATTAACAGTTCCTGTGAGGTGTTAACTACTCTTGACTGAAATCAGAGGAACGGAAAGAGATCAGTGCTTTGTCTGATCAAATTCTTATTTAAGATTTCCTTTTCACAACTTCAGAGGCACTAAGAGCCATTAAAATAATGAAAATACATGTGTGTTTTCCAGATCACAGATGATCTGGAAAACAGATCATGTGTTTTGTTACTTAACAGATCATCTGTTATGTTATCTATTATGTTACTTAATCTCCTTCTGCCTGGTTGTCTCTGCCATTAGGGCCCCAAAGAGGAGCCAAAGAAAATTGAGGATATTCAACATTACATACAGTCAGGCCCTAAGGATTGCATGTCTGTGTTTTCACATACTCGCTACATGACAGATCCCCCACACTGATTTAAACTAATAGTACTTGAAAATAAGTCCTGAGATAACAAGCCAAAGATCAGAGGCAGAGGGCTACTGAAGGAGAGTCGAACTTGCCGTGGTATTATGTATGCATACACATAATCTGCTGCTGAATTGAAAGACCCAGGGAAAAGAAATGATTTGTTGCTTTCACCTTATGCATGAGAAAATATGCTAATGTTTTTCCAGATGGTACTTCTAAAAGCACATCAGACATCTAGTGTAGGTGAATCATAAGAGATAGTAAACAGATTAATAGTGGTACCACCTGTATTTTATTACAAGTTTGCAAAGCTTCCAGCCTGAGATCCTGCATTCCTGAAAGAACTTACATGGCTAAATTAAAACCACTAACTCCCAGCATCTTCGCAGCACTGATATTTTAAATAAGCTATTTATTAACTAAGGTAGCAGAGTTCATCTCAAATCAACTCCGGAATGAGAGAAAAATTGGTTGTTGTAAAATAAAAACTGAACAAAACTTCCCTGGGAATTGTAGAGATTGCTTAAAAAAAAATCGATATTTTGACCACTTCCTCCCAACGAAGATATTTTTTTATTAAAGCTCCTTTTTATAGCAATACTTTGTGTAAATATAAATAGATATTTTTTTAAAACAAAAAAGTCTGTAAATTATTTAAGTACCTCTGCAGTCACTAGGGGTCAGTACAGTCACAGGAATGGGCTCGAACAACGCCCGGGAATGAACCTTCATTAGAGTGCACTTGATTGCAGCTCTCCAGAGCTGAAGCCTCTCTGCAGTGTTCTGCAACGGCTTTAAATTAAGAGAAAAGACCCCAATAGGCTTGTTATGCTTCCTAATGGCCAACTCCGGGGAGATGTACAACAACCTATATTCAAAATCGCTAAATAGCAATTTTTTGACTGTTAAAACACAGTAATGAGGTGACCCTACTTCTTCCTCATCCTACACGCTCTCCAAAAGGCATTTCTGTTACCTCCTGATCTGGACAGCCCTCACCACAGCTTCTTCTCAGGGGAACAGTCTTTGAAAAGAGGTGTTCCTAGACCAAGCGTCTCATTTAACCTTTCCGGTCTGGAAACCTTTTAGATAATTTTAAATGCCTTTGCTTTTGATATTCTGTTTTCACAGGTGAAAATTATGATAGAAACATGCTCCTGTGGTATGTAATGTTTGAGGCACCTGAGAGTACAACTACGATGCTTAAAATACAAGGAAACTCCTGCCCCTTCTTTCCTGTTTTTATTTCTTAAGAAAAAGGCAGTTAGGCAGAACTAAATATTAAAATTTACAGGACCTTCTCAGAAGGTAAGGTCAATATCCAAGACTCTTTCCTTGGTTTAAGAACACATATGCAAAAGACACTTTTGGTTGTTTTGTGACATGTTTTGCTTGCCGTGGACAAAACCAATGTCTTTAAAGGATGGTGATCTTGTTACTCTGCATTCATGATGAAGGTTTATTAATGAATTTCCACTGTAAGGATAGAATGTACTTCTTACATCTTCACAACTCCTTCTGCCCCCCAGGAGAACCTACAGAGCAGATTTTGAAGATTATACTCCTTACAGGAGTATGCACCAAGCACAACATACTCTGACATGACCCATGGTAATTCTATTGACTTCAACACAATTATTCGTATTCTTAAATTCAAGTGTATTTTGACTGATCACAGCAGAGTGGTTTCCAAGGTTTCCATTACAGTATGCACTGCAGCCTGCCAAATTGATATTGCTCTTGGAGATAAACGAGGATGTAAAATCCAACAGGACTTTGACTTTTGAAGCAAAATTTGCAAACTGGGCAAATATAGTAGAGAATTGTAGGAGGAACAGTAAATTATGGAAACCTGACAGTCGGTTGCAAGTTAGATAAAACATGCCTAATACCATCTCTTTCAGTTTGCCGGTGCCAATCAAAACCTTTGTTCTGTTGGCATAAGGAGTACCTGGTGGTGAAGGGAAGACAGAAGTCTTGAATAGCTTGTGCTCATGAGTACCAGACAATTAACATTCAGAAATGAAATATCTGGTTTAGGGGATTATTTGGTTTATTCCATTATGTTTCCATCAGTGG